TTTTGGGGGGGGGGTGTTAAAATATTTCAAGTCTGTCTTCCGACAAGATTGCTATAACATATTATTAATATATAACTACTTTAAAAATTCCGTGGGGGGTAGACACCTGTATACGGGCCTGTGTATAGGTATATCAGGTATATGTATTCATAGGTTATAGGTAGGTAAACCTCATTTTGGTAGCTGATACTATTGCTACACGCTGAATATATATATATACTGTATATACATTATACATAGCGCGTATAGGTTCGTATACCTATTATATTACCTATGTGGCTATGTGGCAATGTATATATGCTTCAGCGGAACGATMAATTGAGCACCGGGCAACTACTTCTACGGGCTCTATCATAGATACTAGGTATGTAAGTTTTACATCATGTATTTTGATTGTTGATTTCGAATTCTRATTTTTAAATGTCTTCTTATATATTATTAAATTTAAATACTCAACGATATTTTATATTTACCAGCAAGTTCGCGTCGTTCTTCAACGACCTTTGCCGGCGCAAATATCATTGGAACRCTRCCGGTGATGCCATTGGTTACACCGAGCACGGCCGTTTGCAAGACAATCATGAATTCACTGATGATTTTCGTGTGGAATGGATGTTGAACAAATACGATTACCATAATGGCGGGAATCATGAACAGACGGTTTTTGGTGCTCTTCAGTATTTTGTCATCCCACCGTTCGTACGAATAAGCTCCCAGTAACTATATTTATATAGAATGTGTAGAGTATATTATATGTATWAAATACCATAATAATGTTGGTTACACCTAATAGACGCATCGTCATACAGTTCAACTATACAAGTATAACTAATAATAAGTAATAACTATATAAGTAATAAGAATCTACTATTAAATAATAAATAGTCATAACATAAAGGTACCATTCTGGACGTAAAGTTATATAACTTCTAACTCTTGTAAATTTTAACTTATAAGACTTGAAATGTCGTGTATTAAAACCATGAATTTCAGGCGGAAGTCTATTAAAACTATAAGGGGGCTAACATTTTTAACATAATTGCTAGATCAGTCTAATTTTTTTGGGAGGGGGGAGATAATGCCGTAATGGAATATTTGAGAAGATTTAGCGTCTCCAACCTTCTCGATTTCCGGCTATGTTCYTTATATAGTCATTACTACATCGATTGAGGTATCATTTTTTTATAATGTTCGTTATCGATAATCGATGTAACGATTTTGATTTTTGACGTATAAAAATAATTGTGCGTTACTACTTACCTTCCCCATAAGGTCAAATAAGTTGAATACAGTCATCACGAGTACGGGCATCCACGTGCCAAATCTTGGACTGACTAGGTCGGAAAGTACTCCCGGGTATATGCTTAAAGTCACGAAGTAGCATAGGAAAATCGCCAACATTTGTTTCCATATGATCTTTGACACTTCTTTTCTCAACTTATATCCGCCTGTATAGTTAATATCGAAATTATAACTTTTATAATTACATATCTGGAACCTAAGTATACGAATTATAGTTTATAATAAATAATGACAACATTTAATGAGATAACAACTCCTATAGTAAGCCACAATTGCTACCTACCTACTTCGTTGGTGTAGTATATAATTTGCTATCACCGTAAAATTATATATMTATACTAAAAATGGTACCCACTCTAATGTACTTTCCAGTAATAAAATTAAATGAAATAAAAACTTAAATTTTCAGTTAAAAGTATTTTGTTAGTAGGTAATATATAGCTTATAGATATTTACTCCTTCAATGTTTTATAAAATCGATCGTTTGATGTGCCTAGCTCGCATTTACTATATTATACCTTCCATTTTTTAAACTGGATAACTAGTTCTGTTTCAATTCTATTGACTTGTTGTAAGCTTATATTATATTATGAATAAATTTACCTACAAATTAGGTACTGTAATTACCTACCTACTTTACTTTGGACCAAGCCCGTATTTAATAAAAAATTAATTAATTAATTWCATTGTTGATCTTTACTTACTCTTAAATGAATYCCAAAATCCGGACAAGGTGGATTTTCGTAGCTTAAAAGAACTTCCTGTTTCCACGTGTACCATAACGTCTTCAACTTTATACGTTGGCACGCTATTCGCGTTTGGATCATACATGGGATTTGCAAAGCTAAATGCATTTTCGTCTTTAAATATTTTTCCTGTGCTCAAACTAGTTTCAGCAAATGGTTCTGGTTGGGATTGTTCGGAATCGATCTAGATACATTATAATATAATAAAATACCAGATACCTACTCATAATTATTATTAAAATATACATATAATATTATATATGAAATCGATATTGAACAGGTAGCCGGGTTTGCCTCCTTCAATCTCCCCCCCCCACATTTGAAGACTCCCTTTCCAAAGAGCATAAACTTATAATTAGACCTCTCAATGATTAAGTTAGTGAGCTTTAAACTGCTTCAAAAATCAATCATAATGAGRTATRACACTTTTATTATTATTTATTATTTATGTTAGAATTTAAAACACAATAACTATACACGTGGTTCAAAAATCATTATATAAATATACTTAAACACCACTCAAGCCCAACTAAATGTACTAAGTTTGTTAAAATAATACAATATTAAAAATCGTGGTTATTTAATTTAATATGATTTCAATGTTAGTATAATTAAAATATCGTTTGTATGGTATTATTCCGTCCTCCCATGATTATGTTAGTATACTAAAATGTGKCAGTTTCTGAATATTTCATTATTATTTGGCCATAATCATGGAAATTAATATATTATTTATTTGAAATGCCCAAATCATCAAAAAATATTTTCTCGGTCTTCCYTAGACGATAGGGAYCATAAACTCAATTTAAGAACCTAATAATATGCCATGGAACTTAATAACTATAACAAATACTAATAATAGTTTATTATTTTTAATAATTTTATTTAAATAATAGCAAACAACTAGTTAGCTGTATTTTGTTTTAGATGAAGACATAGTATAGATATATACATGTCACATTATTACATTAACATATTATTATCTTACGTATTCTTCTGTTGGTTCCAATGAAATCTTTTTCTTCGATTCTTCACTCCTGGCAATGTAAAATTTTACGAAATCAGACGATTGCACTATTTGGAACAACACGCAAGACGTCATCACTACCAGATGACTAATCACGAAGAAACTGAACGTGCTTACTCGCAAGTCCTTTGTCAACATTTTCGTGAATATTCTGTTGATAGACACCCAAAGCCCAGCAGCACCTTCAAATAAATTATTACAGTATATTAGGAACCTATTAATTTTTCTCAATTGAACATTAAACCATCTAAACCACAAATCAAATAACCTATAGTAATACAATATAATGATTATTCATTTATATTGACATGCAATAATGTTAAATGTTCTAACGTTTTAAGTATATTTTTCTATTATARAGTCTAACATTTCTCCTTTTTATCTATTTTAATTTGTAATTGTAATTAATGGATATACGAACTTTCTCCAATCATGACRGCCTGCGTATATTTTATAGGCAGTATACTTGTGTATCCATAAAAACTGGACTGTTGGACTGTCAAATGAAAATACATATAGGTAGTAGGTACATACATGTATACATTTGTTAAATCGTTTTCTTTTGAAAATTCGTTTACTTGTCGCGCCCCATGCAATGAGTCCAATGGCTACCAAGTTAAGACAATATGACGTATCCAGTGTGAATAGTTCCTCCCACAAAATTTCCACAGCGCCCACAAACAATAGCATCGAAATCGTCAGTCCATAACCTGTAAAAATATAACTTTATATTGTATATGACCAAATACAGACTAATTATTGGAATTAGTCAGATATSGTGTACGGAAATTATCTCGATACTGAATTCCGTATTTTGTGTATACCAATATTGATGCGACAAGTGAAAGACAGAGTTTCGACGAGCAGATTGTTGGTGAGTACAGCAACAAACGCCACCATGATATACACAATCGTCATGTCGAAAACTACCATCGAAACAGGGTATTTGGTTTGAAAGTAATCGACAGCCATGACAAAACTACAAAAAAAAGGACTTTAACTTGGTGAAATTTATACAAAACGTTTTTCATATTTTCAGTAAAACGTTAAATTTACAAAACAATTGTCTGTTATAACTGATGTTATATTATTACATGACGTATAGGTATTAAAAAAACAGCGTGTACGATGCATCATATATTTTATTTTTATTTTTTACATTATAACTTCAAAATAATAATTAGAATTAATGGGACGCAATACACGCACAAACATCACGCGTCTTAAAAACATATAGTACAACATATATTAAATTTACGTTAAGTAGAACCAATTTGTGTAGTTAACTTAAATATTACAGTAAATCAATAATCTACCTATTCTATATTATGAATTAAAAGTAAGAAGTTAATGATTTTCGCTTTAAAGCAAAATCTACCTTATTTATTAGTTAAATTATTGTATTTATAGCGTCATCACTACGACTGTTAACATAATAGCTATCTTACACTCATGTATTTGATTATGTAAGAAATCAAAAACCTATCGACCCATCCCTTTGGCTTCGAAAACTTTCAGCCCCTACTGACTGTTTCATGTTTGTAAAGTATATGTGTGCTCACGAGGGTAGATGATGTGGGGGTGTCATAGATCCCCCTCATTAATTTTTATCATACAAAATGTATGATTCAACAATGAAACTTCTGTTATGAAATCATTTTCACTATATTTAAGATTTAACGAGGTCTAAATAAATTTAGACAAAAATTCATATCCCTACTTCAAAAAAGCAGATTATGCCTGTACGTCACTATATAAATATATATATATAGTGAATATTAAATAAAAATAAAACATAGTTATACCTAAATACCTAATATGTGTAGGTATATTAAAGATATTATATTTTCTACTATATACTATTATTTTAAAAGGTATACCTGTTGTATGGAAACAGAAAACCAGCGCCCGCCAGCACCATGGCCATGTAAGTCTTGCCTATTTTGTCTACCGGAGGCGTAGCCAGCGGACAGACATTGCCGCGTTTGCCCAGGGCTACGTAGCCCCTGCTCAGGTTCTCATCCATTTCGAAGAATTTCAGTTGCGATGACGATCAACCACACCGCAAATATCTATACACCTCGAAGTACCTTCTTATATCTGATTTAATAAAATAATTATCTGTACGCACGCAAATACGTGATATCGTGCTCGTTTAGTGTTTGCTGCCGTATACAGAATTTCTTATATATCAGTAAATCACATCGATACACAATATTACATACGTGCACTTTTATATTATTGTTATTATTGTAATGTTTTATCAACACCTAGAAATAGCGCGCGCACTATTGTTGTTGTTGTTGCTGTTGCTGCCAGCGATGTCCGGCGCACCACCGTTACACCAACAATGTACGCACACCATTAGACTTGCGCCGTAATTATTAATATGATCTGACCATATTTCTGCACGCACACACACTCACGTGAAACTCGTGTAAGTACGACTCTGGTCCGAGTATGTGCGTCGGCGCCGGCGTCACGCGCGCGCGTAATCCGCGTCTGCCTCCTGCAGGAGTCGTGTGACGGAGGCGGGGCCAAGYCGTGTTAAAAAGGAGAGACCCGATCGATGAATGACTCGCGGTTGACGACGAAAACCGTTTGCAGGCTGACAAGTCTTATCGTAAATGATGTATACATATATGGTACCCATTGATATATAGTTGTGATATATAATATATAATATGTAACTCCCGTGCAACCTGAAAAATGGATAGTAAGGTCAGGATCGTGCAGTCGTATACTCGTGTGGATAATATACAAATATTCGACGCTCGCTACAGTGAAGTAACTTCGGGTAGGACGCGATGTATCACATAATGATGTGCATTGTGAATATCATGTTGTGATCAGTCATCGTAATCGGGGGCTGAAGCCCCCCCCCACGGTCTTCAGATTGTAAAGTTCCCTCAAAATACTTATTTTATTCATAATTGGTTAGGTTAGGTTAGGTTTCTGTTGGTTTCAGTGGTAACCTTCTATCTCCATCAAATGTACCATGTTCACAATGTCTATTCTCTAATTTCCCTTTTTATACGTATTTTTTTACTGTACACGCTGGGTGGTAGAGCGTCCTACAGGTTTGGAATAAACCATTTTGTCTCCAACTATTTGTTTGTCGGTATTATTGTTATGATCTAATATAGTAATTATTGATCGAATATTTACATGCGTTCGTACTTCAAATCTATACGTTTTGGCATATTATAATTTAAACGTATGTTGTGGTAAATTATCACTGGTAATTAGGTACTATATTATTGTATCACATTATAGTATATACTATACTGCGTATTTGACTTAATATAAT